CTAAAATCTTTGCTCTACATCCCTACTCGTAGACAAACTATGTGAAATGAAAAACTCGATTGTTTTAACGTTGTGTAAGAACGTTTTTTTTTTTTCTTTTTTTTTTTTTTTTTTCCTCTAGCACTGTTTGACTGCATGGAACACTTCATGTGCATCTTCCCTATGAATCACGTTTAGGTGGCCCAGTACAATATTGTTGAATGTATCCATTTGAAAGATTCATCATTCACTTGAAGTCCAAAATGAAATATAAGATATATGTAATATGTTGAAGGTTCAATTATTGATGTATAAATGCTTGAAGAGTCAACTCTCTTTTTTCCACCAATTCACTAGGTTGGGACGTGGAATTGGTAAATGATATATTCCTTCCAAGGGATGCTCATCTCATTTTAAGCCTACCTACTTCTGTAAACATTGTACCTGATAACTGGTTTTGGAAGGGGGAGTTGCATGGGGAGTATACAGTTAAAAATGCATACAGAGTGATCACGAGAGAGAGGGGTGATAGAGGGGGATCGGAGGTGAGTTGGGCGGGAATATGGAAATTGGATTTGTCTCCAAAGATCAAGTCTTTTTTTCTAGGCTTTGTGTATGAAACACTTACCTACTAAAGATATCTTGGCCATAAGGCAGGTCGCATGTGATCCTACTTGTCCGTTGTGCGGGATCGAATAGTGCACCTTTTGGTCTAATTATTCATGATATAAGATCTTTGCTAAACCAGCTGCGTTCTTAGCTTAAGCTTTGTTAAGAGGGGTGCAAATGCCCTTGCTCATGATCTTGCAAAGAAGTCCTTAGATTATCCTATTCTAGGCAGGGTAGAATATGTTGACAGCATTCCTCTTTTTGTTTCCTGTATTGCTTGTTCGGACTTGCTGGTTTATTATTAATATAATCGTTTGTTTTGGTTTGCTAAAAAAAAATGCTTGAAGAGTCAACACACTATGCATCATTTTATTTTGACGATGATGCTCGAGTCAATCATTTGAACTGAATGGCGAATCAATCTTTCAAGTCATCATTATCATTGTGGGCAAATCATTATTATTATTATTATTATTATTATTATTATTATTATTATTATTATTATTATTGTGTGCAAATAAGACCTTAAACGTACAAAATTTGTGCAATTAACATTTTTTATCTGTTATTTTCAAATTTCTTATAAAAATATGTCATAATGTCACTTGATATATAAAATCATTTTTCTTTAATAATTTAATAATTATATAATATATTATTTTTAAAAAAATTTAAAAAATGGAGGTAACTTGCCTATGACTTTGCCATCGATGGTGAACCTTGAAAAGCCTCTCTTGATCCGTCAACAAAGTCAAATACTCAAATAGTCCGTCAATTATTTAATTAAGATCCATTTAAAAACTCAAAAAGTAACAAGTTATTTTTTGAATTTGCTTGTATTTGGCTACCAATTATAGTCAAAGAAAAATGATCTTAGCCGGCAACTATTTGATGCTTTGTGAAAGTTAAATATACAATTTTTGTGTGTTTAATGTAATAATATCTCAATTGTACACTTTTTTATTCACTGATCTGATTACACAAAATATAGAAATTTAGTGACATATTTGATACATTTTCCTAAATCTAATCCTTCAAAATGTAAATTGTCAATTTAGTCTGTCAATTGTTTACTTAGAATCCATTTGGAAACTCAACAATAACTTTCAAAAGTTATTTTTTTTGAATTTGTGTGTATTAGCTACCAAAGAAAAATAAAGTCAACAAAAAATACTCAGTGTAGTCAAAGTAAAAATTACCCAATTTGATAATATAAAAAAAAAAAAAGATTTCCAAGTTTTTTTTATTTGCAAGACAGTTTCGTATCCATATCTCATGTTTAGCTCTCTATATCTTTCTAACGGCATCTCCAACTATTGAGATAAGAGGCGAACAAAGTGGAAGAAAGAGGGAAAAATTGGCTGATTGATCTTCGAAGAGAACTTTCTTTCCGAAAATAATGTGCGAAGGCGCGAGTTACTCACACACCACAAAGATGTTATATTATTTTTAATTTTTTTTTTTTTTACTAAAATCATGCCGTTGAAACATCTTGATTTTTTTTTTCTTTATTTTTTTTTTGGGAAAAGGATCAAATAAGCCCTCGAACTTTAGCTTAAAAGTCAATTAGGCCCCTAAACTTTTTAAAGGTGCAATTACACCCATCAACAATTCATTTAGATGCAATGAAGCCCAAAAACAAGTTAATGACCTGCTATCACAGGTCATTAGGGTTCATGCCACTTTCCGACGAATTTTCCGGCCAAAGAAAAATGTGACCAGCAATCGACCCAGATTTGCCGAAAATTTCGCTGGTCACTTTTTTTTTTTTTTTGCCGGAAAATTCGCCGAATGGTGGCCTGAACCCTAATGACCTGTGATAGCAGGTCATTAATTTATTTTTGGGCTTCATTGCACAAGTCATTAATTTATTTTTGGGCTTCATTGCACTTAAATGAATTGTTGATGAGCGTAATTGCACATTTAAAAAGTTTAAGGGCCTAATTGACTTTTAAGCTAAAGTTCGAAAGCATAAAAGCATATTTGACCCTTTTCCCTTTTTTTATTTTTTGTTTTCTAGAATTTTTATTTGTTATTTTATTTGTAAATTTATTTTTAAAATTTTAAATTTTACTAATTGTTGGTATATATAATATTTAAAATTTGATTCCGAATTTTATATTTCATTATTTAAATTCACAATTGAAATTATAATTATAAAGTTAAAATTATTAATTTTAAAAAATAAAATAAAATAATAAATAATGTTTAGGAGTGTAGAGAAATAAAACCAGAAAATGGGAGAAAGATTAGAAAGAAAAATAAGAGATGAGATTATATGGTGATGTGACCGTTGTTATACCATGGACCAAAATCTATCTTGCAAGGTGAATCATCATCTTAAATTGTGTGAAAGTCTAAATTCTAGAATATAACAGTTTCTAAATTTTGAAAATTTGTAAATACAACACATTCATTACAAATTGTGAATTTTTAAAAGATAATTTGTGAACATTTAATATGTAAATTAAGTACATATAATATTATTGAATTAATAATAAACCCTTTTTGAGTTCCCAATACATCCCGGGGAAGGTAATTACACACATAGATTTCCATAATTGCAGTGGGCAGGCAAAGGTTTGGAGAATCTTGACTTGCTACATTTAGCATAACTAAAATGGAGTGCCAAAAGGCAACAACTCAATTTGGGCACTCCGCAAACAGATTTGCCTTTCCATAGCAATTAAGCAAGGCCATTTACATTCATCATCCATCAAGAACTAGCAATATATGATTATATGAACTTACAAAAGTGCAATCATTGTTAAAATCAAAATGACCAAAAACCAAGGTGAAAATGGAGTCAACTTGATCAATGCAAACTACTGAACCATATAGTGATATATAGCAAAGTAAATACAAAATCAGTATTAACAACCTCTACCACAGTTCAGCATACTTGATAGCACTAACCCCCCCCCCCCCTCCCCCCAACCCCACCCCACACACACACACCCAAATGCATCTTCAGAGTAAGATTCATAGAGATGTTCAATTTCCACAAAGAGAAGAAAATTCCTTTCAAGCATTAGCATAACACTTGAAAGCAGATACTGTGAACTATGACTGAAACCATCTTAAAAATCAACTTTTAAAGAAAGACAGACTCTCCTATGCGCATTTTGCCCTAACAGAACAGCTTCAAACAAACACCAGCTGACAAGTTGGCAAGAATGACTAATACAAATATTGGTTTCTTAAGTTCTATAATATAAGTTTAAAGTTCTTGTGATCTAGGTAACGAACAACGAGCCTTAGGCTAGAAAACAAGTTTTATTAACACATCACACAGGTCTATGACATGGAATAAATTAGTGTCCAAGAGGAAGGAGAAGGTATGACTTAGCTATATATTCAGTCGAGTAGTAACAAGGATGGGCACTTATAAATGGTTGGCGTATGAATGTTTTAAATGTGTTTCTTAGGCTGCTGCTTGTAGAAACTTTATTGGTGGAACTAGATTACATGTTTTTATCCACTCCTCAATAGTCAATATGTGTGGGGCATATGACAGACACAAACTCTTCATTTGCAATCATTCTGCGCAAATATATGAAGGAGCTAACTAAAATTGAAAAAGCTATAAGTCTATAACCCCCAGCCCAAAAGTCAAATAACAATGTTCTTAAATGTAACCACTTTGCACATTACATGTAAAAGAACTATTTAATGACTGTCAATTACTTTCAATTTAGTCTCCTCTCTGTCAAGTTTACCCCCCTGTGGTCTGGGTTTTAATCTTTACTATTAATTTCATTTTGATACCATCTGCCTCTTGTCCTAGCTTAAAGTCTCTAGGGAACATCTATGGCATAGAAAATCTGTATGTTAAGTAAGCCACGCTCAACATGCTTATTTTCGTATGTGTGCTTTTAGTAGTATCACAAAAAAATAATAAAAAACACTACATACAACTAGTATCTCTAGCATCAACTAGCACAACAAGGGATCAAATATAAAACTTTTAAAAAGCGAAAATGTGAAATAGCATACTACCTTGCACCAGAAATTTTCACTTCCACATGTCTGTTAGTCCTACTAGACTGCTCAAACAGATATATACTCTCTAATAATAAGTTTTCTTGCATTAACTAAGTTGTGAAGATATGATTTGATGGTATAATATGAAAGGACTAATTCATTTGTAAGAGTTCAAAATACCCTCTCCCAATCACATTATAGTAATTCCAGCAAGGAAAACACTGAGAAGAGCATAGAGGGGCTTGTTAACATTCACAATTGTGCAATGCAATTTTCGGGATTTATCAAATGTAAGCAGGCAGCAAATATAGCACCGAGCAATACAGAAGTACAGAGCTAAGGAAACATAGGTCTCTGAAACCAGAGCTTAGGGTTTGAAGGTGACACTAATATTTTGACTTCAAAATTTTCAGAGAAATAGAAATCAGTTAAGCATCGCTATCACCGTCATGTTTCGGATTACCTGCAGCATTGGAAATGAAAACCCCAGGATGAACTGAACGCCGCCGAGTCCTGGAAGGGAGAATGTTGTCCAAATCGACCTCAGCAAGAGGATCGTCGGAGAGGTCGCTTTCACCATCAGTATCAGAATCACTTCCGAATGCACTAGAATCGGAGTCCGAGTCAGAATCGTGAACTGACTCCTCGACCAATTTTCCCTTCCCCTTGTCGTCACTCCTAATTGCCTTCCCTTTTCGGTCGATTTCGGCCTCTCCATTAGACTGCTCGTCTTCATCCTCCTCCTCTTCTTCTTCGAACTTGTAATCCTCTTCGTCGTCCTCGTCCTGCTCTTCCTCATCTTTCACAGAACAGACATCGTTCTGAGACCCTTCGCCGATCTTCTTGTCTTCGGCGGCCGAAGAGACGGCGCCGTCGACAGAATTTTCGAGTTTGGCCTTCTTGCTGGACTCGTCATCTTGTCCTTCGGTAGCAGCTTCGACGACGAACTCCGGGTCGGGTTTCCGCTTCGCGGGTAGCACATGTTCCTCTTGGTGATTCCGTACATCCTCCATTGTATGGTTTCTGGGTTTCGATTAGGGTTTTGAGGATTGTCGGATCACCGCTGCGGATACGGTGACTCTAATTTTAAGTATTACAAGCTCTTTAAGTAAAGTGTTCATGTGTGTTTGACATTTGTTGGTTTTTACATTAAATTCATTGAACATTTGTTACTCCTTCAAAAATTCATAATTTAATCATCAACTATAATAATTTTTTTAATTTAATTCTAAACAATTTTTTGTAAAAATTAATTAGATTCTCGACTTTAATAATTTTACCAATTAAATCTATTGTTACAAGAGATAATTTATATCATGGACCAAGATCCACATAGCATTATAGACATTGGACTGAAACGACAATGTACAAAATTTGTACTCGTAAGATACATAATTTCTTAATACAAGACACAAAAAATCACAACGCAAGAGACATACATATGTTATATATTTACTTATTTTTCAAATCTAATTTAGATACATAATTTGTGTTCATAAACACATAATTTTACAACACAAGACACAAAAATTCATAACAAGACACAATTACTAATTTTGTTTAGATACAGAATTAATACTTTTAAAGTACAAAGTTTCATAACACAAGACACAAACTTACAACATAAAACACATACAATGCACCAAGGTCCACAGTGCACTGTGAACCTTGGTCCATAGTATAAGGATTGTTGTTAAGATAATTGGGTTATTTCACCTCTATTAATACTCAATTCGGTCATCGACTATAGTAGTTTTACCTAAGTTAGTCTTCAACTATAGTGATTTTACATAATTTAGTTATCGACTACATTGAATTTTATCGATTTAGTCATTGATTCTAATGGCCAAAGACTCAATTGGGTAAGACCATCAAAGCCGAGAACCTAATTAAGCACGGAAAGTCGTCTAAGACTAAATCCAAAAAAAAAAAAAAAAAAAAATCACTATAATTGAGGACTAAATTGAGTATTAACTCTCAAAAATACTTCTAATTTAAAAAAAAAAAAAAAAAAAATTTGTTAGTTTCCACTCTCTAATGTAAAACATTAGGTCATCCACATTAGTTGATTTTGGACTAGATTTTGAGGAAAAGTAAGTGATGTGGATGAGAGAGAGAGGGAAGAAATATCCTCTTGTAAATATGAGTTTTTCGTGGGACCCGTAGGAGAAGAAAGAAAGAGAAAAGGAAAGATGAGAAGTGAGCGTGTGCACTGCACGCCCCTGCTGGCGCGTCAGGGCCTTATTTTTATTTTAAATTTTTGTTTTCAGCGTCGGATTTTTGTTCCTTTTCTCCTTCTTCTCTTTCCCTCATTTCTTTCTTAGTTCGCACCTAAAAAATTATAGCAAAAACCTCATTATTGAGAATGTTCTTAGCTCTCAATTCATTTTAACTTTTATCACATCTTATTTATTTACTTAAAGCATACACAATTGTGAATTTTATGGGGTTTTTGCATACCAAAAAATCAAGGAAGGGTTTTTAACTAGTGTGGGTATGGATTTTTGGATTAGTTTTTACTCCTAGAAGTTTAGATTTTTTGAGAGGTCAACATGTGAGAGAAAAAAGCAAAGCAAAACTGAACCCTTGCGCGTTACGCACAAAGAGCGTTTCCAAACGGGCGCGTGTATTACACGCGACTGCTGGCGTGTCTTCTCTTACTTTTTTTTTTTAATCCCCTGTATTGGGTCTGATTTTTTTTTTCTTTTTTCCTCTTCTTTTTGTTTCTTTTCTCTCCTTGTTGGCTCATAAAAACCCCTGAAAAATGCTAAACCGACATGGTTGCTCTTATTCTCTGTCGATTTTGCATGCGAGATGGGCATGGACTCCTTGAATGCTAAGCTCTCGTGAACTTTGACTTGGTTAATGGGTTGCTTCCTGGTAGAATTTGCATCAATTAATCTATCCCATTAAAAACAAATTAAAAAAAATTGTAGGTATGTATAGATGCAAGAGAGAGGAAGAGCTCTAGGAAATAGTTCATGGAAGAAATGACCCCTCCAATCATTTTCTCCTTGAAAACCAGAGATCTAAATTGAGGATGCATAATCAGTGGGAAAGAGACACAGCTTCAGAGCAAACAATTATTCCCAAAAGGTTGAATCCCTAATTCTAGGGGCTCTACACCCGAATTCAATAGAACATCTGAAAGAATATAAATCATGGTAACTCGGCTGAACACAGAGGGAGACTCGATCTTGAATGTGTTTCCAAACATTACCCATGTAACCAACTGAGCAGCTTATGCAGGTTGTTTCTGAGCAAAGAATAGCAAGGAAGGAAAATGAAAGACAAATGAGAAATTGCTTTCTTTATCTTCAAATTTGATAGTTTATATATTGATGAATATTAATAGAGAGCTCGCATGGGTAGCTCAAATGGTCATAGAGGTGAAACTTTGGAAGAATGATCAGGGATTGAGTCTCACCAGCGGCAGTGTGGGAGCAACCTCTCAAAGTGAGGGGGGCTTCTTGTGCGCTTCTTGTGCGCAGTGAGCACCGGTCTAGCCTCTATGGGTTCATGTTCAGTTGAGTCACCATGATTTACATCAGACGTTATGCCATGGAACCGTGTTCACCATTCATGGTGAACACGGTTCCAACAGTGTTAGTACACCGTTATCTTTTTTTTTTTTTTTTTTTAATTAATTACGTGACTGCCTACACATTCACTTTGGAACCATGCCTACACATTCACTTTGGAACCATGAGATTATGAATTTTCTGTTATGAGATTATGAATTTTCTGTTATGAGATTATGAATTTTCAGTTATGAGATTATGAATTTTCTGTTATGCGATTATGAATTTTCTGTTATGAGATTATGAATTTTCATTACATTCATAATTTCGGACATTCATAAATTATGAATTCATGCATGCACATTCACTTTGGAACCATGCCTACATATTCCCGTCCGAAATCACGGACATTCATAAATTATGAATCCATGCCTGCACATTCACTTTGGAACCATGCCTACACATTCACTTTGGAACCATGAGATTATGAATTTTCTGTTATAAGATTATGAATTTTCTGTTATGAGATTATGAATTTTCAGTTGTGAGATTATGAATTTTCTGTTATGCGATTATGAATTTTCTGTTATGAGATTATGAATTTTCATAAAATTCATAATCTTATAACAGAAAATTCATAATTTGATCAGTAACGCGCCGTTAACTCCACATCCGCGATTTTTTTTTTTTTTTTTGCCTAAAAACGACGTCGTTTTGACTTGTGTTCACCATTCTCGGTGAACACGATTCCACGGCATAATTTGCGGATTTACATCCTCCCAAATGCTTTGTCGGGCCGGGGTGTGGGGAGCCCTTAGGGTTGGGGTTCAACCTTTGGAAGAATGAATATTAATAGAGGATAAATCATATAAGATTTTCTTAATTAAGTTAAAATACTTCAATTTGAGCTCGTTTTTGTGTTGGTGTTCGTTTGTTAAGATTTTTGAAAATCATGTTCGTGTTCGTTTGTTAACATTCGCGAACACGATCACAAACATGTTCGTTAACATTCACGAACATGTTCGTTAACATTCATAAATACTTAGTAACCAAACATATTAATATGTTCGTGATCACAATTCGTTCGTGAACAAGAAATACTATATGTTCATATAAAAAAAAAAATCAAACAAGTAACACAACTACAAAGAGAATAAAAACAAATATTAAACGAACATAAACGAGCTTGTTCACAAACATTATTAAACGAACACTAAACGACCTTGTTCGCGAACATTATTAAACGAACACAAACGACTTTGTTCACGATCTCTTAGCAAACTAGTTTACAACTGTTTAGACTCTGTTCGTTTATAAACCGAGCTCTAAATTTTGTTTGTTAATGTTCGTTTACCTTAATAAACGAACGCTTACCGAACACGAACACAAACACGAGTAGTTTACCGAAAGCTCTGTTCGCTAACACCCCTATTACGGTGTAGTATTTTAGTAAAATAACACCAAAAAAAAACAATAAATTAAATTAAAACACTAGTAGGTGGAGTGAGTGCTTAACATAAAATACAGGGAGGAAAGTGTAAAATCCCACTGATATTTAGCTGTTTAAGCAGGAATGCGGAAGCGTTACATTTACACATTGAAGGAAATAAGGAATGCTTACAAATTAACTATCTTACGATTACCAAATAAGATTGCCCAAGGGAAATCATCGGTGGAGGGAATTAAACTTGAGTTACTCCGAAATTTTTCCTCACGAAGATAGTTCATTTATTATCTGAACTACCACCTCGATTTAATACTAAATGTGTCTTCGCATTTGCATAGTAAATTTGGTGATAATTACGAAATTGCAACCGTATTTTTTTTTTAAACTTGATCTAGTGCGTTCAAATTTTCCATATGTAAAATTGTGATTAGTTCTTAGTTTTCTCCTACGGACTTGTTCTCATATGATCCAATACTTATATATATATATATATATATATATATATATATATATATATATATATATATATGACCGCGTTCAGGTGCGAACTGCCCGTCCAGGAGAGAACTGAGAACCATCCAGCACGCGTCATGTTCCAGATCAACAAATCAGATGTAATTTAAAAAAAAAAAAAAAAAAAAACGATGCGAGGGCATTTTCGTAAATAGCTCGAACTTTGGTGCATATAAATGTGCTATAAGTGCAAGTAGTTGGTGCACCTTTGCAAGTAAAAAATGCAGGTAAAATCACTTACAAGTGCACCTACTTTCATCTACAAGTGCATGTAATTTTGCCTTGTTAACATTCATGCACCTAGGTGCAACTACTTATAACTATAGGTGCACCTGGTTATAACGTCAGGTGCACTTAGTTTTGATACTCAGTATAAATTTTACTTGCACATGTAATATGTTTTACCTGCACTTGTAATACATTTTACATGCACTAAGGTGAATTATATGAAACTGTTACTTACACTTATAATACATTTTATTTGCACTTCGATCTTCAATTATTTATGAAAATGCCATCGCGTTTTTTTTTT